GCATTTTTCCTGAGCAGGAAAAAAAAAAAATCACAGCTGCACACTGTTCTTTTAAATTGGATCACAAAAACAAGGTTCGAGCAAAACTGGTTTTACAAAAAAATTCACTGTTACCAAGAGAACCTTCCCATGTGACGCCTCTGGGTACACTAACTCATAGCAAGTTGTTCCATGCTCACCTACTAGGAAAAATGCATACTATGAAAGCTCTGGCCAGTGGAGAATTTTTCCAATTTTTTTGGTTTTTGGGGGGATACCTCATCATAAGTTGAGACAAAATGAATTTAAACTGTTGAATGTAAAACAGATGATCTAAGGATTTACATCCTCAGAAACCCAAAGGAGCTGTTCCTAGTCTGGCCTGTAGAATCATTACTACCATTAAGTCAGAATCAACTCAATGGCAGTGGATTGGTTTTAGTTTGGTGGCACAAAGGCTAAGTGCTTGACTTCTTATCGGAAGGTCAGTGGTTCTAACCCACCAGGTTATCTGAGAGAAAAAGATGTGGCAGTCTGCTTCCCAAAGATTATATAGCCTTGCAAACACTGTGGAACCATTCTACCCTGTTCTATAAAGTTACTATGCGTAATAACATGAGCTGAATGCCATGGGTTTGGATTTTGAGTCAAGGAATTAAAAGAATTCCCATTTGATTGCTTCTTTTTATGGTAGTACCTGGGTGGTACAAATGACTTGCTCACCTAATATAAAGGTTGGCCATTAGAATACACCGAGTGGTATTGCAGAAGAAAGGCCTGGCGGTCAGCTTCTGTAAAAAGTACAGCCAAAAAAAAAAAAATGGAGCATTTCTCTATAGCACACAGGGGCACTGTAAGTCAGAACTTAACAGCAAGTATAGATTTTACCTCTGATGCTAGAGTATCTAGCCCAGGTAAGGAAGGAAGGAAGTGGAGTTAAATTTTCAAAGATTACAGAGAATATTTAATGAATACTATTACAGATAAATCCTTCCATACTTGTTTATTTCTATAAAATACTATTGTTGAGTCAAAAAATGTAGAGAGGAATACAGAATGAAACCAGTTTTGCTGAACAATATGTGTAGAAATTTCTGATAGCAAATCTGTTTTGTAGTATAAATTTACATACATGCACACACCCCATAAAACAGTATTTTTAAAAAGAAAAGTACACACGTGTATGTACACATACACATAGACACATATATATCGGGAACCCCTAGTGGTGCTGTGGTTAAGCACAGGGCTTCTATCTAGAATATTCAAGCTCGTCAGCTGCTCCATGGCAGAAAGATGTGAAAGTCAACTTCTGTGAAGGTTACAGCCTGTGAGGCAGTTAGTTCCACACTGTCCTGTAGGGTCACTATGAGATGGAGTGAACTTGATAGTAACTGGTTTGGTTTTAGGGTTTCTGTATACATATTTCAGGCTGATTATGTGAGGGGGTTTCAAAATGTTGGTGGGAAAAATGCCATTCTCTTTTTATTCCATTTCTCCCAGAGCTTCGTGAAAGCACCCTAGTATGTATTGACTTGCTGAGCATTTTACTATGTAGAAGAATCAACTCGAACAATCTGGAGGAGAAAACAATGGGACTGACAGTTCCTGGGGGACATGGGAGAGGGGGAGGTGGGGGGAAGGGAAGAGGTGTTAACAA